CTTGTACAAACTTGTACGAACTTATTCAAATCTCAAATCACCACACCAGACTATTCGGTAACTTCGAGGCGCTGGACAGGGGCGAACCCTCTCCTCTTCTCCCCCCACCCCCCACTTGTATGAACTTACTGACACATCTCAAATTCCCCCCCACCCCTCCCAACCAGACTGTTCGGTAACTACGAGGCGCTGGACGGCGGGGAACTCTCGGAGGCCCTGGAAGACTTTTCCGGGGGCGTGTCGGACACGCTGGACATGCTCAAGATGGAGGTCGGGGTCAAGGCCGAGGAGAGAGTGGCGCTGTTTGCCCGCATGCAGAAGGACATGGACCGACAGTCGCTCATGGCAGCGTCTATCCCCGTGAGTGTTGCCACGCCACTGGGGCCGATTTGTACTAAAAGATAGATAGATGAATGGATGGATGGATGGATGGATAGATAAATGGATGGATCTTCTATCACTCATGGCAGCGTCTATCCCCGTGAGTGTTGCCGCGCCACCGGGGCCGACTTGTACTAAAAGATGGAGAGATAGATAAATGGATGGATGAATGGAGGGATAAATGGATGGATGGATAGATAAATGGATGGATCGTCTATCGCTCATGGCAGCGTCTATCCCCGTGAGTGTTGCCACGCCACTGGGGCCGACTTGTACTGAAAGATGGATAGATAGATAAATGGATGGATGAATGGAGGGATAAATGGATGGATGGATAGATAAATGGATGGATCGTCTATCACTCATGGCAGCGTCTATCCCCGTGAGTGTTGCCGCGCCACTGGGGCCGACTTGTACTGAAAGATGGATAGATAGATAAATGGATGGATGAATGGATGGATAAATAGATGTATGGATAGATAAATGGATGTATGGATAGATAAATGGATGTATGGATAGATAAATGGATGGATCGTCTATCACTCATGGCAGCGTCTATCCCCGTGAGTGTTGCTACGCCATTGGGACCGACTTGCACGGAAAAAAAGGCATTGATCGTGATTTTGAGTTTTAGTCACTTGTACAGCACTTGTGACACAATTACAGCATAGAAGTGCCAAAGATTAGAGGTGGTTCTAGAGAATAATATACAATGAAAAGGAGGAGAAATAAGAAAAAAAATGATAGACGTTTGACAGGACAGAATGAGGAGGGTAGTCAACACTCGGGAAGGTCGTGGAAAAAACAAACAACTTAAACCAAACCCCATCTTCCAACCTTCTGACCCGCACAGGCCACCTCAGCGGAGGAGATGGAAGCGTCGACAGACATGGGTCTGGTCAAAGGTCACGCCTACGGCATCACCAGCGTGAAGAACGTCCACCTGGAAGGTTCCGGACTGTTCGGGATCTTCAACCGCGAGAAGCTGCCCATGATTCGTCTGAGGAACCCCTGGGGACAGGGCGAGTGGAAGGGAGCGTTCAGTGACGGGTGAGTGGGAGGGGTTATTGGG